CCAGTGTGAATCCTTAGAAGTATCCCCAACAATCCTCGGTACTGCAGGCTTCCAGCACCGATATGTAGTGGCATCTCCAGTGATATAGTTCTTTGCATTGCATATAGTTATCATTACATAACATTGCATCTTCAAAAGTGCATAGTCGATCCGTCAGAATGGATCTTTGCGGCAAAAAAAATCCAAACATGCATACGAAGCATAAGCTAGATCAGGTACCTTACATGAAAGACCTGAATCATTCAAAGACAACAATACATCCCCACAAGAGGGTATCGTGTCCCAAAATCCCCAGCTGGTGACCTTCACCTCCACCTATTCCCAATAAAATCAATACACCTTTTCATTCTAAAACCAGTTCTCGTCTGGTAGTCAGTTCCCATCTGACAAATAATTCAGTCTTCCAACACTCATTTATCTTAATCTCCCAAACACTCGTCCGTGTAAACCCTTCCTTGATACCCATTTGTATCTTCTTTCAATACTCGTCTGTGTCAACTCATAAACACTCGTCCGTGTCAGTTCTCCAAACACTCGTCTGGGTCAGTTTCCCAAACACTCGTTCGTGTTTAACCTTTCTTTGATACTCGTCTGTATTGATTCAAACACTCTTTTGTGTTATACCTTCCTTGTATTGGTATCACGATACGTTACAAGTTAGATCTCTTCCTTGTATTGGCATCACGCTACGTTACAAGTTCGATCCCTTCCTTGCATTGGCATCACGATACATTACAAGTTAGATCTCTTCCTTGTATTGGCATCACGCTACGTTACAAGTTCTATCTCTTCCTTGTATTGGCATCACGCTAAGTTACAAGTTCGATCTCTTCCTTTGTATTGGCATCACGCTATGTTACAAGTTCGATCTCTTACTTGTATTGGCATCACGCTATGTTACAAGTTCGATCCCTTCCTTGTATTGGCATCACGCTATGTTACAAGTTCAATCTCTTCCTTATATTGGCATCACGCTACGTTACAAGTTCGACTTCCTTGTATTGGCATTACGCTACATTACAAGTTCGATCTCTTCCTTGTATTGGCAGCACGCTGCATTACATGTCTGATCTCCTACCTTGTATTGGCATCACGCTACGTTATAAGTTAGATCCCTTCCTTGTATTGGCATCATGCTATGTTATAAGTCTGATCTCCTTCCTTGTATTGGCATCCTACTATGTTACAAGTCAGATCTCTCCCTTGTATTGGAATCGTTCTATGTTACAAGTCTGATATCCTTCCTTGTATTGGCATCCTGCTACATTACAAGTCTGATCTCTTCCTTATATTGGCATCATGCCACATTACAAGTCTCATATGCCCTTGCATTTACTTTGTGCTATCTACCAACACTCGTTGTGTCAACTTCTAAACATTCACTGTGTCAGCTTCTAAACACCCGTCGTGTCAATCTTTAAACACTATTCGTGTCACATTTCTAAACACTCATCGTGTCACCTTTCTAAACACTCGTTGTATCAGCTTCCGACACTCATCACGTTAATCTCTAAACACTCTTTATGTCACCTTTTTAAACACTCATCCGTGTCAGTTCCTCAAACACTCGTCCTTGTTATCTCTTCCTTGATACTCATCCGTATCTTCTTGCAGTACCCGTCCATTTCAATTCCAACACTCATCTTGTCAGCTTCCAACACTCATCGTGTTAGTTTCCAACACTCATCGTGTTAGTTTCCAACACTCATCGTGTTAGTTTCTAAACTTTCATTGTGTCAACTTCTAAACACTTGTCGTGTCAATTCCTATTAGCCATCATGTTCTGATCGATTTCCCCCTTTTGGTCGTCGTGTCCTGATCGACGTCCTCCTGCAAATCATCATGTCCCGATTGATGTCTCCCTTTTGGTTATTGTGTCCTGATCGATCCCTCTCCTGCAAATCATCATGTCCTGATCGATGTATTCCTGTGAGTCAGCCATCGTGTTATGATCGATGTCTTCCTTTGGTGATCATGTCTTGATTGATGCCATCCTGTGAGTCATCATGTCCTGATTGATGTTCTCCCTGCAGTCGTCGTGTCTTGATCGATGTGCTCCTGCAAATCACCGTGTCCTGATCGATGTCTCCCTTTTGGTTATCGTGTCCTGATCGATATCTCTCCTGCAAATCATCGTGTCCTGATCGATGTCTTCCTTTGGTGATCATATCCTGATTGATGCCATCCTGTGAGTCATCATGTCCTGATTGATGTTCTCGTTATACTCGTCGTGTCCTGATCGACGCCCTCCTGCAAATCAGTGTGTCCTGATCGATGTCTTCCTTTTGGCCATCATGTCCTGATCGATGTACTTTAATGTCATCGTGTCTTGATAATCGTATACCTCCGGTTTAGTCTCATCAATTTTAATTCCCCAGTGGATATCACAAAAATAAATAAACACTCACACTTTCTCCCAGAACAAATTTTTGGCATTGGTATTTAATCATCTTCAACCTTGAACTTCCGAAAGGCACGCGCCAATCGTACTTTCAGGTTTAAGACGATTAAATAGAGGCAGTTGTAATACCCCAAATTTTTCCTACCCTTTTACTTTTATCTGGCCTATGCATTGTTGCGCTTTTCTCATGTACATAACCTCCATTAGGTCATTTAACACAACATGCATTCACTAACAACAAGGCTTGGCACTAGGATCAAGGATCTTGAAGAATTAGGGTTTATTTAAGGCTTTGAGGCTCTTATCTTCATCCAAGAGATTCAAGCTGCTCCCTCAACAAGCAGGGAAAGATGCTAGGGTTTTAACTTGTTATGCTTCATCAAGAGTTCAATTGTAAGCTAAGGTTTTGGTTCCCTCCATCACCTCAAGCTACTTTGGTTATTAAATTTCATTAAAAGCAAGTGGACTCGGGTTTGTTACTCATCATATTTGAGCTTGTTGATGTTCAAACAACTGAGGTTCATTGGGTTTCATGTCAAGGTGTTCTAATATGCCCCAAGTCCGGCCTTTATCAAAGGATTTGAGGCATTATCTATCTTGTTACTCATCAAGTCGAGATATGGTGGAATTGGATTGCAAAATACAAGTCGTGGTGCAAGAGATGAGTGTGTGGATTCATTGTCATAAAGGCATCATTCTTTCATATACTTGTTGCTTATCATGAAAGTTTGCCTAAGATTGGAAAATTGAGTTGAATATAGGGCTTCATTGAGAATGGAAGATTAATTTGAGGTATTCATTCAAGTTCAAGACTGGGTCGATGTTTGTTTTGGTACTAGTTATAGTGTTGCAAAGGAATACATCATGCAAGTTTCAAGTCCACTTGTCCAAGTCCAAAAATTCATTATTCAAGGCTTCAAAATTCAAAAACATCATCCATCGTTCATCGTTCAAATTCTACAACTTCATGTCATCAAATTTAGGATTTTAAGTACAAGCATTTATTCATGGTTCATTTCTTAAAATTCAAGTAACAAATCCCATTCAAGGCCTACTTCAAGTACAAACCGAGGGAAAGGGCAGAAGGAAAATGCAAGTTAGAGAGGTATTTTGAAGAAATTAGCATGAGATGGAAAGGGTATATTACCAAGTCTTTTAGTGACTTACAAAGAAACAAGTTACAAGAGGAAATTATAGGAAATTCTAAATACAGTATAGAATTCATACAAGGATTCGCATGTTATTCTTACTATACTAAAACCAATTCTACTCCATGACAAATTTCAAGCTTTACAAACTTTAAGCTCCATTTTCCTTCTTTGAACTTCTCAATAAAAACATTATGCAATCTTCATTAAGCTTCAAGCTTTAAAAATATTCATGCCACTGTCATTTTTCATTGAGCCTACTATCATATTCGTGCCAAACTTGCGGCTGACATAAGCCAATTCTCTGAAATGATCCTGTACTGGTTCAAAAGGAAAAATCAGAAACTATCAGCAGTTGATGGTTATGCAAAATTAGCCAAAGCTGACTGGAACTGCAGCCCCGTATCGAGTATCAAACCAGCTGCTGCTTCAAGAATATAAAACTAGAAAAATAAAAACACATATGAAAAGGAAAGAATTTCCCATCCCCTGCAAAAATAAGCTAAACCAATTCAAAACAGGAATTCATAAATCCAGGACCCTGCAGGAATAGTAGTTCCAACAAATAATTATAACAAGTTTCTAACAGAACCAAACTAAATTCCTAACTGTAAGCAGCCCTGCGATTAATCAATCAGTAGCTCATTCATAAAAACATAAAAAAGAGAGAAGAGGTTACAACAGTCCAAAACAACAATTCCTAACCAGGAAAAATTACAGCTTAGCAATAAAGATTCAACTCCCTTTAACCTCCTAACCAACTTCTAACCAACTTTATAACAAACTCTCAACAGAATCCAACAAACTGAGAATACTAGATAACAGAATTCACAAGAAGAAAAGAAGGAGGAGAATTTTCACGATACAGAAATTCAAACAAAAAAAACTTCTAACAGAAGTAGCAGTAAAAGAGAACAAAATAACAGAGAGATTCAAAAAGAAAACCAGAAGAAACTCACCAAAATATCTAAATCTTCTCTATCTCTATCAAAGCTCTTCATCATCTCCTTCATCCACCTGCAACCTTTCTTCGCCTTCATTCTCTCTACCTTGCACATACTCTGCATCATCACCAACCACCATCCACAAGCACGATTTTTTCCTCATACTCAACCTCCACCCTCATTCTTTAATCTTATTTGTACTCTCCACCTCCACTATGTCTTTAGCTATCAATCATCACCTTCAACCTTCACTTAATCTCCTCTACAGAATTCCTCGGATTCTCTACATAACAACAACTGTGTATGCGCAAAGAAGAATAAGGAGGAGAAATAGGTGAAGCACACTGAGATTTCGTGAAACAGAAAAAGAAGAGGAAAATATTTTGGACACTTACCAGATTTCTTCGAAGATCTTCGGTTGTCCAGGCTATTTCCATATATATATAGAAGAATCATCGGAATCCTCCCTGGCAAGTAAGCCTTCGTCTCTATATTCCTTTCATCTTTTCAATTTTCTCTTGTTACCAACATGTAGAGGGGGATGAGTGAAATTGAACCCCTTATAATCATGCTCATAAGCCTCAACAAATGGCATTTAATCTCTTCCCCAAGACTTAGGGTTTCAAATTTGTGTTTGACATAGATAAAGTGAGGCGAAGGTGATGCTTTCGCGATATAACCGGTGGTTCTCGGTGATGAGATGGTGGTTGTGGCGGTGTTAATGCGGGCGAAGAAGAAGGGAAAAGGAAGAGAGTGGACATCGTGAGAGAGAATAAAAAGGCTATTATAGGAGTTTGAGAGCCACATTAGCCATCCCTAGCTTAACTACCTGAAACGGCGCAGTGTTACTTTTCCTTCCCTTTCAAATTTTATTTATTTTTTACTTATTGAAATAGAAATATGGTAAATGAAGTGGACCACTACGCCTGTAGGATTTTATTTTGGAACATATTGGAATGTTAATAGACCAAATTGCATCCCTTAGGTCTATTAACATGTTTTTTTGGAGTCTAGAGCTAGTACAAAAAACCATTTCTTGGACTCAGTTTGTTGGGCCTAACGCTCTGGCTTCTATCATACCCCCTGAAATCCAATTCTCACCCCTTGATACTCCTTGCCTTGTTAATATTTAGGATCCCTTTTTTAGATTTTTGTTATGACAAAATGGTGATAAAATCAATAAAATAGTAGATTTTAATAGAAATTTTTTAGGAATTAATTCTTTAATTTTTTGGAATTTTTCCTTACATAAAAAACTAATAATAAAAATACTTCCATTTCTTTTAGTTTTATCCATATTTTCGTACTGTCGTGCCTCGTTATTTCTGACGCGTTTGTTTATTGTGTAAGGTACATTTTTATGCTTTCGATCATGTAACATAACGAATTGTTATGTGATCAAAGCATACGGCTTATGCTCTCTTCTGGCGCAATACGCCTTATTTCTCATCGTCCTGAGAAATTCATATTGTATTATGTTGTCCTGATACATGCAATACTTTATGATGTCTTGTGTAGTAACTTCTGATTACGCGTTGCATTCGCAACATGCATTTGCTTTTATCTTATTTGGATATTATTTCTGACTTTGTTTGTTTCTTGGTGAAGCTTGCTCGATGCGTACTCCCTGCTTCTCTATTGCTTTCGTCCGCCCTTGACGATTTTCACGCTTTGGTAGTCGCCGCTACTACCTTCGTAATTCTTCACACTTTACTACATTTCTTTACTGCTTTTCTAGATACCATGAGAAGTAGGAAATAAAGAGCGTGCGCTCGAAGTCGCTGTTTAAAGACCTGTAGCAGGAATTCCGCACTTCATTTTCTATATGTGTTGTGCTTGTGTTTGTTTCTTTGGTTGTTGATCGATGAGTCACTCAATTTAGAAATTGAGATCACGACTTCGCTCTTAATGCATTCTCCCTATAGGATTTTATCGCTTTATTTTATTTCTTGTTGATCGATGAGTTACTCAATTTAGAAATTGAGATCACGACTTCGCTCTCATTGCATGTTCCCTATAGGATAGTTTTGTTAGACTTTCTTTGGCATGCTAACCTAGATAGGATCCCTCTAGGTGTGCTCTCTTGAGTTTATTATCTTGTTTCCTTTATCCTTGTACATACCATGTTCCCTTAGGTTATGCTTGCTCCCTTCGGATTTAAGTTAGACCTTAGATTGTAAGCCATGCATGCTAACATTAGGTAGACATTTCCCTTTTGTTAATCCAAACCTTAGGACTACCATTGTATGATAACATTAGGTTTAGAAATAGGCTAGTCTCCCTTAGACTCTTTTCTTCTCCTTTTGCATATGCATTTAAAACTAAAACTTCTTTTCTTAGCAAATCAAAAACATGCTAATCATACTAAAACCCTTTTTCAAGGTAACAAAATACAAACCAACTCAAATCTTTTTATGCGCCTAAGCATCTTTTCTCTAAAAACCCTTTTCAGGTAAGGACATGATTAATTTAATTTTGTGCCAACGCATAAGTCTCCAAAGGTCGAGCTACGGCAGAAGGTGGGATTAGCATTGTCCATAAAAAATGAAAATAAAAAAAAACATGTGAGCCGAACTACGGTAGCTCTGATTCCTCAAAAAGGATATGTAGGCATTGGGGTAGGGCCCAAGCGAGTACAACTTTATTTTCCCTACATTCTTTTCTCCTTTCTTTTGCATGCATTCTCCCTTAAGTAGTATAGTAAACAGTAAGCATAGATTAGACACACCTATAAGATAGATAACAAGAATGGATACCGTTAAGTTCTATGGCCGTGTGGGGTGCTAATACCTTCCCCTCGTGTAACAGACTCCCTTTCCCGATCTCTCGGTCGCAAGACCATGACTTCTCCCTTCGCAGGTTTTCACGATGTTTACCTTTTCCTTCATGTGGGATAAAATACGTTTGATGGCAACTTCATTGTTTGATGATTTTCAGCCGGTTGTTTCAATGTGATAATATGATTAAATAAAGAAATAGTCCCCATTAGTCCTAGAGGTAAAAAGGATCCCCTTGAGTACAAGAGAGGTAAAGGGTTCCTAACACCTTCCATTTATATAATCACCTCTCGAATCTGTCAATCTCTAAACAATTAGGGTTTTTCTGTTTCTTTCTTGTCCTTAGGACTAAAAATAGTGGTGGCGACTCTCATATTTTTTACCGGTTACGACATATAACACCCTGTTTTTCCCCATCGCATAATTACATAAATCAGAGTAAATCAAAACTTTTTATCACAACAAAACAGGATGTCGCATCATTCATCATCATGCAATTTGCTCAATATTTAATAATTTGAAACATAACACACATTTCGGATGAATCGACAATATCATCATCATAGTTATCAGTATCTCAACTTCATTAACACAACAAGAAAGAATTCATAATTTAATTCCAACACCATTGATTCATCATATGACCAACAGATCTCAATTAAAAGAATGTTTACAAAGCTTCCAGAAATTCTTCAAAGAAAACATCAATTAAATAAATGAGTATTCATCCCCGATGTTACATGTCAGAGAAATACTTGACTCAATCTATGCAATACGAGGCGCAAATCCATACCTCAGGCGATCAAAACTTTGTCACCTGCATGTTACCCACGTAGAGGCATCATTCAAACAGAAGGGGTGAGATATCATAACAATAAAACTAATGTATGATAATGAATAGATAAAGCATAACATACATAATCATAATATAATACTTCATGCATCAATACCAAATACACAATATCATTTCAACAATCATACCCAACAAACAACATATCACATCATTTCAACAATCACACCTAACAAATAACAAATCACATCTCTTCAACTACAACATCATAGTGTAATGAGACTAACTTCCCTAAATATATGCATGTGGTACCATAAAAAAGTCTTTTTTTCATTTAGGCTACACTGTCACTTGCCATTAAGGCTACACTGTCTGTTGTACCCCAAAATGTGCCCTCCCATTTTACTCAACATATGCTCATTAAGACCTTTAACTTGCTAAAGTATACCCAAGAGTTGACCAGACAAACTCTCTCCTAAAGCAATGAACCTCCAACTAGGGTTTCCATTTTCATCAAGATGGGTGAGATCCAAAGGCCTCATATGCTCTCCATAGTCCTAATATGTCCTCAAGGTCACCCATGCCAAGTTTCATACCTTACACAAGAAGTTTGCCCAGTCAACTGCTCAGATGCTTGAAAATCAATTGTATTAGGTCAAAAGTCAATTGTGACCCACATACGGTCAAACTTCAATATTTTTGGTCAACATCAACATTTTGAAGTGATATCCATCATTATATCAAGGGTTGATCATTATTCCTCAAGGAATGCTCCTAATTCATCAAAACTCAAAAGTTGCTAAATTAGGGTTTCTCAGGAAAAGTCAACCAAACTTTGACCAAGCATAACTTTCTCATACTTTATCATAAATTTCTCATCCAAGGCTCATTTTGAGGAGAATCGAATTTCCTACAACTCATATTCAGCCCTCAAGTTCAAAAAATTCACTCATAAAAAGATATGATTTTCTACATTATAGGTCCTTTTAAAAAGTCAACAAAAACACCTTTTGGGTCAAAGTTTCTTACATGAACATGGAATACCCAATTGAGATGAAACCAAAAGGGTTGTTTAGGGGACATCCTAAGCTTTCTAAAAAGTCTAATAACACCTCTCTAGGGTTAAAATTGGAATAGATATGCATTGTCAAAGTTGACCATTTTTGGAAAATTGCCAAAAGTCAAATGTGCTCAAAAGTGCATTTTTTGTTAAATGGGACTAGCTTTTTATGATTGTATCTTGTTGAAGGCATGGTCCACGACCCAAATCAGCATCCATATATTATTTTCTCTATTTATTTATTTTATTTTGATTTTTATTATTTAAAAGTCAAATTAAATCAAATAAATGACAAAAAATATATAAGATTGATTTTTTTATCTGATTTTTGTTAGAATCAAATCTAATTAAGCTAGCCTAATCAGATCAAATCGAATCAAGGAAAATTGAGGCAAAAATAGCATGATTAGGATGGTTTTGGAAAGATATCATATAGCAAACAAATCACATTCAATTTCCATCATTCAAAAAGATTCAGTTGTTTTTTGTTGACCTAATACACTCTATTACATATACACAATGCAGCCAAGGCAAAATAAGAAGGGTTGCAGTCGTGAGAGCTGAAGAAGAAAACTCAAAAATTGGACAAAAAGTGTGGATCTGATTTCTAACCTAGGGGATGATTCAAGCCCATTCAAAGCTTATAATCGCTTCCTGGACATCTCCTGAAGCTGATACGATCACTTGCAAGCCTTCCCGAGCCCAGAATCGCTCCTGGTAAACCCACGGTTTGCACATACCAGTTTGATTTTGATATTATAATTTACGCATGATTAACCACTTTTAAGCATAGCATTGTATTTGTATCATCATTTGGAATGTTTTGGTTCAATTAATTTTGAGTTTTGATGATTGTTTCGCTAATTACCATTGCTAGGGTTTAGGGGACCGTTTTAGGGTTTCTCTATACAGGTTAAATTGGACCAAGAAAATGGTGCCATGGTACTCGTGAGATCAAGACGAGTTGATTGGTGTAGCTAGAATTAATTTATTCTGCGTTTTGTGAATTTTTGAAGCTTGCAGGTTTATAGCTATGGAAAATGCCCGTAGGTATAAGTCTGATACCTAAGACGACGGACAGGGAAGAAGACAATGACTTGTCACCACCCCACTGGTCCATTTGAATAATCGCGCGCATTTTTACTTTATTCAGCCTATCCCCTCTTTTTTATATATATTA